CGTTCCTTAAGTGTTTCACAGCTTGCCTCAGGCTTTCCTTATGTTTTCGGCAGGAAATCGAAGGTTAACTTATTGAAAAAAGGGGCCTCGTTTCTTATTTAGGGTTCCTTAGGTCAACGCCCCGACTGTAATGTTCTTCGTGCTTGTTGGGTGTGCTTGTGCATCCTGGGGGGGGGTACCATCGAATGTTTTTTTCCGCTTGGCCGGCGGAGGGTCTCGTGTTCTGGAGGCATGCTCTTCTGCCCCAGGTCTGGCCGTCGCCTTGCTAGCCCCCACGTCGCATGTAGCGGTGCAGGTCACGACATACTTCATGCGTGTTATGATTTCCACATGCGTATGGCAAGTTCCATGACCGAGTCGTATTGTATCGCGTTGCGTTCTCGTCCCTGGCAAATCTTGACGCTTCGCGCATCCCCACTTACCCTTCCAGAACCGACCCCCAGGCGAGTTGCCTCAGGCAAGGGAGTGCAGGAATATGACATCCACGTATGGGGGGTTTGGGGGGGAGCCTTCAATTCGAAGGTCGGGAGCATCCTTTGTGTGTTTCGTCGAGTTTGGCTCTTTGGCATCTTTGATCAAATGCGTGGCCACCTCAGACAGCCTTGTGGCCTTCCTGGAGCTCCTTTGGAGGCAAGCTGGAAACCAGCTGGGGCCAACTTCTGCTATCTTGCGAAATGCTGCGGGCCATCTTGGGCTATCTGAGTCCATCTTAGGAGCCAGAGCGCCCCTCCTGACAACTCGCAGAGGAGCACGGGGTACGTGGGGGGGGGGGGCAGATAAGTCCCAGACAGGAAGAACCGGTTGCAGAGCTTAACGATTTCATCTTCGCAAATCGGGCGGAGGATCCTGGACGCAGTTATGTTATGCAACACAGGCGTCTGTTGGCGTCGATTCGTGGTCACCTGCCCAAGTCTGTATGTCATCGCGTGGGTCTTCTCATCGCATCGCCGTTCTGGCCGTGTCTGTCCTTTTGCCATTTTACTTTCATCACACACTTCGCACGTATTCCCCCGTCCACTCTCGCTCTCTCTCTCTCTCTCTCTCTTTCTCACTCTTGTGTCGTCCGTCGTCTTCATGTCAGGTTGTTCTCCAGGTGTGCCGCCTTGTGGGTCGGTGCCCTCCCTCCCAGGCACCGCCGCCGATACATGCCCACGTCTCTGCCGCCGTACGCGTGCCCGGCAGAGGCCATGCCCTGACGTGCTTCTCAACACCCCGCGTTGGGCCCCAAGCGACCACGAGGTTCGAGAGCCCATATCCGACCACATCGGCCAGGACTGCAGCGTCTCCCGCGGTGAGGGCAGTCATTGGTACGGCGGAAGCTGGCGCCATCCATGCCAGTGGCTCCGGAGACGACCGGACCTCTCCAGCTGCACCTGCCCCATTCTCGCCTTGCCAACTTCGCTGCCGGCACATTCGGCAACGAGTGCCCCCTGGCGTCCGAGGTAGACCGAATGAATAATTACCCAGCCAGCCATGCGAGAACAAGAACACGCTCCAGGATGGACACCTTTGTAAGTTCGGGGCCGATTCCGATTCCTCACGCTTGTTCACCGCTGAGTCTTCCGATCGCCATTCCCCGCAGCACCGATGACGTGGCCTAGGCAACGCCCCAGGACAAGGCGATACAACATGATGATTTTCCGTCTGGCTCCGGTCGTACAGCCAATGCCAGTTCGCATTCTTCAGCATAACCACCAGATATCGGTTGCGAACGTGGATTTCCAGGTCAACGTAAGCGAATGGACTCCCGTCCGTAACGCCCTTCATCTGCGCAAGCATCTCCCCCAATACGGTCAGAGTCGTTATGGGCCCTGCCATGCAGCACTTTGACGACTTCTTGACGAGCATCTCACTGCACACAGCCTTTTGGAAGTACTGCTCAGAGATGCTTGACCATGCCGGGATCAACTAGGGCACGTCGCACACTTGGAACGAGAAATCAAACTGTCCAACACTGATGTCTGCAAATCCCCGCCGAGGGAATGGCAACATCGGCAGCACGTCCTCGTCACAGACATCGTGATCCCTGTCATCAGGCTATCACGCTCATCCCAGAAACTTTTTTTGATCCGCGGGTCGAGAGCGAGCCTCTTCTGGTCGAAGCTAAGCGGGCCGCGCACAGCTTTAATTGACAGAGGGAGGAAGACAGAAGGAGGGGCCTCACGTCAAGGCCAAGGCTCATCCCAGACACAGCGCAACCTCAAGCCCTCGGCACACATACCAGCACGGACGACCATGCCCCTGACAGGGTGCGACATGGGCCTCCAGCCAGCCTTGAAAAGGGACTCCGCGAACAAACGTAGTACCCGCTCGAGGCAGCCATGACGAAGCTTCCTGCACTCTACTGGAACGGGCATCGTCGCAGCACTTCGACGTCACCGTAGCCAACAGCACCGTGGTGCCAGGCCGCCCCAGCGATACCCCTTGCGGAGACATGTTTTTTTTTGTTCGAGCGAGGGCCGCGTGTGGCCCCAGGCAGCCGCGCGGGACGGCACGAGGTCCCATCGTGTGGTCTTTGCAGAGTCCTGGGTGACGGCATCCGGGAGCCCGAGGAAAAGCTCCTTCGGGCAGGCCGCCTGCACCTTCGTGGCCAGTCTGCCGTGCACCGCCACACCACGCGCGCGACGTCGACGAGCACGTCGGGGGTGGAGGCAAGCACTGCACACACACAGACACACACAGAGACACACAGAGACACACAGAGACACACAGAGACACACAGAGACACACAGAGACACACAGAGACACACAGAGACACACAGAGACACACAGAGACACACAGAGACACACAGAGACACACAGAGACACACAGAGACACACAGAGACACACAGAGACACACATACACACACAGACACACACAGACACACACAGACACACACACAGACACACACAGACACACACAGACACACACAGACACACACAGACACACAGACACACACAGACACACACAGACACACACACAGACACACACAGACACACACAGACACACACACAGACACACACAGACACACAGACACACAGACACACACCAAGGGCGTCGTAACAAGCGCCCCTCGGCGCCAAGACCTGGCAGGCAATGGTGCGGAGCTTCACCGCTTCCGCCAAGTATCGAGAGCACGCCGCTGGCAAGCACAAGGACGCGGCCGTACAGGTAAACTCCACGCGCCACGAACGCCCCGCAGAGTTGGGCGTGCGAGATGCCAGGGCCAGCGCAGCGCCGCTCTCCCCAAAAACCATTCGGCCTCCAAGGGTCTCACATCCTTGCCACCCGTCCTGAAGACACGCTGTGACGGTAGCACGTGCTGCTTCGGGGCGAGGGCTCGCACGGGCAGGTACGACCACGCCACAGCCGTTCGGCTCCGGTGCACGCCTGGCAGCGCCCCCCCCCCCAGCCAGCGTTGTTGGCCGGCCGTGGCGCAGAAGAGGCGTTCCCGCAGCCGGGGGCCCGCCTTTTGACAACCGCCGTCGCTTCCGCGGGCAAGGGGCGACACACAGTGAATCTCTCCGTCGAAGAATTCACTGTGCGAGAGGTAACTTCATCTCCTGACCTAGATTTGCAGCCTGATTAAAAGCCCGAGACTTAAGTGTGACTGGGCGATTGAGTTGAAGCCGCAGCCTGGCGGGTGACGGCAGGGGCGATCGCCACGCGCCTGGGGCATCGTCGCGGCAGCCGCCATCTGCTTTCGCAGCCCGTGCGAGGACGAGGACGTGGGGCGGCGAGCCCTGCGCAGAGCCGCCGCCGCTGGCCAGGGCCCCTCCTGCGCGCAGAGCTGCGCGCGGGAGCGGCGTGTGCGTGCCTCTCCCCGGCCAAGCCGGCGGGGGCGTGCACGCCGCCTCTGGGCCGAGGAGGGTCACCAACCACCAAACCACCCCAACCCAACCCGAAGGCTCAGATTTACCCTCGATTTCCAGTGGGGGGGGGGGCCGGGAAACGTCGAGAAAACACATGTGGAACCCTTACCCCCCCCAACCCGAAATTCGGGTCTTCGGGTTAGGTTGGGGTGGTCTGGTAGGTAGTCAGGGGTGGCCTGCGGCGGTGGATGTGTGAGTAGACCTCGTCCTTCTGGAGGTGCGCGACACTGCTAGTGCGCGTTGCCCACACCGCGCTGCCAGCTCGTGCTATCCTCGTGACCGTCGTCCGGCAGTCTTCCCAACTTCATGCCCGGCGTGCCCGAAGAGACCATCAGCTCGGCATCGCTTGGATGCGTGGGTTTTTTCCGCGGCGAGGACCGCCGATGAGCATCTTGGGTTCATCTTGTGGAGAAGCCGAAGAATGTACGGGGAATGGACGTCCGAGCGATGGCAAGTAAGCAAAGATGAAATCAGCGGGACCTCCGAAGCCAATGTGTGCAAGCCATCTTCCCAATCCGAGCCTGGTTCTTAAAATCATGTGCAAGCGTTGGAGGGCGTGAAACGAGTAACATCCTCAGCTAATTTCGGAGGCCGTCCCAGTGCAGCAGCTCCCACAGTCTACGACCAATGTCTAATAGAGTCGAACCCGATCCCTGCGGGTCCAATCGACAGTGCGGTGTCTGAAACCCCAGCTGGGATTCACGCGGTTGCAGACATCCTTCGAGTTCTAACCCTGAACCTGCGTTTCAGAAATCTGACCTCCTGGGGTAGAGTTCACATGGCCGATTCCGGAAACCCTGAACCCAAAAACCTTGTCTCCTGGTAGGTCGAATTTTGCTTTCGCCCGCTTCCGCCGAGCTTCCGCTGGCTTACGCCTGCTGAGCCGCCCTCGTTTTACTTCCGCCGCCCTCCGCCGACCTTCCGCCGAGGAAGAGATGACAACTCCTCCTATCCTCGAAGGCGAGGCCCTTGTTGGAACGCTCCACCTGTGCAGCACACTTCAAGCGGGCAGCCCCGGCAGCCGCAAGCAGTTTGAGCGCCGGTGGTCTCGGCCTCGGCACCGCCCAGCCACGCCGCGGCTTTGCGGGGGGGGGGGGGGGCAGACGGCCCTGGCGATAATGAGCACACCCGATGTGAGTACTGCAGC